AAACTGTACTGTGTACTTACCTTTGAATGAACTTGGAAGGGAAAATCATAGAATATCTAATCAAAAGATCTTTATTCATCTGCTTGCCTATAAGGCTTTCTTCTTCTCTCCTTTGCCAAGCTCTATAATGTCTGTGAGGCCTCAGCCCCAGGGTGCTTCCCTGCCCACGCTGAGTGCATCAGCCTTCTGCTGTTCCCACCAGCCACCCGCCACAGGAGGGATCTGCAAAAGGCTGAGGGTTTGGTGGTTAGTAAACTCAGAGGCCCACAGTTTCTGAATTTCTGAGCACGTAGCAGTACCTGTTTCCTGGAAGGGTCTCGATATGTCGTGTTGAATATCCTTCTAAAGGACAGAACCACTTGGTAGCTGGAGGGCCAGAGAGTCGTTGCAGGCTTAGCAGAGACGCTGGTTGCTGAACAGAAGAGATTTCAGCAGCTCCCTTTGTTGATAAAGGCCTATTCAAAGGCCAAAACGCTCTTCTGTTCAGTGCCCTTTGCACCTGCCCGTTGTTGTCCCTTCTAGCTCGCAGCTGTCCCCTCTTCTGCATTCTTGAGGTGTCTGCGGGTTAGAGACCACGGTTCCAAGTTATGCTCATGCAGCCCCTCGACTTTAGGAGCGCTCTTCCCCCACATTGTCCCGTCCCTCCTGACAGCCCTTCCCTGCAGCCAGGTGGCTATAATTTCTCCCAGTTATACCCAGTGGTTTTTTTCTTTTCCCCTTCAAAGTAAGAAAACTGAGACACAAGTTGCCCAGTGTCTACAGGGTCGGATTCACAGTGAAAACACTGAGCAATTTTAGTTGACATGATGGAGTTTGGCCTCCTCCCCCCACCTTCAGAATTTTCTTCCTGTTGTAGATTTTTCTTACTTTTTATCCTTGATTTTTTCCTCAGTTTTTAAAAATTGTGGTAAAACATACATAACATAAAATTTACCATTTTGATCATTTTTAAGTCTGCGGCTCTGTGGTATTACATACATGCGCCCTCCTATGCCACTATCACCACCATCCATCTCCAGAACAGTTTCATCTCCAACTAAAGTGCTGTCCCCATTAAATACTAAGTCCCCACCTCCCCATATCCCAGGCCCTGGCACCCCAACTCTACCTTCTGTCTCTGTGAATTAGACGACTTCCAGTACCCCATAGAAGTAGAATCACATAGTATTTGTCCTTTGGTGTCTGGCTTCACTTACTGTAATATCAGTCTTGGGTTTCACATTTTTTAAAACTATTTGTATGGTACTGTTTGTCCATATTGTATCACTCTTCTTTGATTTTTTTGATATTTAGAAAAACAAAGAAAATTTTTTATTTGTTTGTTTGTTTTACTGCTTATTTGGTGGTCTTTTCACCAGCTTTGGGCACCAGAGTTATTCCAATTTATCAAATACATTGGATAGCTTTCTGTCTTTTTTTCTGTACTGGAACTAATTTTATAGCATGAGAAAATTTTCTCCTTTAGATCAATTTTGTAATATTTGCAGGAAGACTTCCTAAGTCTTAATCATTTAACATAGTTTTTTCCTGTGACCTAGAAGGATCAAAAGAGGCCATAGTTCCATACTCAGCTGGTCACAAGCTCTGTTTTTTGAGGGGTTAAAGACTGTCAGTCTTTTGAGCCTACTGCCATTTTAACAGTCCACCCTGTTAATCAAAATGGAGTCTGTCCACACTGCTTTCCAGCTGGCACTAAACACTGACTTCATGGGTCCTCTACTCTTGGCTTGTGGACCTGTCCTCCGACAGGGGACATCCTTTCCTTTCCCCTCCGCTGCCAGTTCTGTTATTTTACATGAGAAAGGCAGAGATCCCTGAACTGGTGTTTGGTAACCTGATCTGGCATAGTTGGTGGCAACGACTGCTCGTCCTGCTCGTCGACTGCTCAGCATCCAGATTCCGGACACTTGTTTACTAAATTCTAGATCAGAAGGAAGTCCTCTGGCGAAGACTACCTATATTGGTTCCCTGGAGGTGTTAGAACAAAATACTGTACGCTGAGTGTTTTACCTCACAGTTCTGGAGATCAGAAGTCTGAAATCGACGAGTCAGCAGGGTTGGTTCCTCGTGTGGGCCCGAAGGACAATCTGTGCCATGCCTGTCTCCTAGCTTCTGGTGGTGGCCGGCAGTGCTTGGCGTTCCTTGGCGTGTAAACACATCACTCCAGTTTCAGTCTGTCTTCATGGAGTATTGTCCCTGTGCATCTCTGTGTATAAATTTCCCTCTCCTTTCTCTTATAAAGATACCAGTCATTCATTGGATTTAGGGCCCGCCTAATCCAGTGTGACCTCATCTTAACTAATTACATCTGCAAAGACCCAATTTTCAAATAAGGTCACATTCGTAGGTACTGGGGGTCAGCACTTGAACATTTCTTTTCGAGGAATGCAGTTCACCCCCCCGTCACTGCCCCAGCCTTCCTTCCTTCTCTCCTAACCAGGACACCTCCATGAAGCAGAAATGGAGCATGTTCCTGAGTTTCTAAGCCATTTCATGCCCCTGGCCTCACTGTAATGATTTGGCAGTAGAGCTTTCATATAATATTTTTCCTTTTTTTTAGGAGTAATTTCTTTTTAAGGAGTAATTTTGGAGAAGTAAAATCTAAATAACTATGTATAAGCACCTTTCTATGGATTTTATTTATTTAAAACAATTTACCCCTTAAAAACTTCCCTAAAAGTTTTCTGATTTTTCTAGTGAAAAATATTAAGGATTTAGAAGATAGAAACAAATTTTACCTGCACCTTCATTTTCTTCTGCTAACCTCGTACCACCTATCAATTTTGCTTTGCATTTTTCTGGGAAGGTCTCAGTATCCCTGGCTTTTCAGATGATTCCTTCTTTTATCCTGGGTCTAATCGTTCTGAGCATACCTGGATGCTGATACTACAAGTACTCACCTTTGTTTACCAAGAACACTATCCCAGGTACAGTCAGCACACCAGAAATGTGCGTCCTGTCTCCTATAGCACAGAGGCTGAACTGAGCTACTGCCACAGGGCTGCTCATAGATGGAGAGCCGATGGGCCAAGATCACCACCCCCTCTGGGTGGAGCAGTAGGCATCCTCATGGCTCTCTAGGGATTTTACTTAAGGCGCATGCTTACCCGAAGTAAACCAAGCCTGCCCAAGGGCAGATAGTATCTGTGGTCACTATCACCCAGTATCTATTGAAAACCTGCTGTTTGCACAATACCATCCTAGGCCCACAAAGGAGATTTGGGGAAAGAATGAGCTTCTACCTCTGCATGCATAGCCAGTAGAGGTGGGCTTAAGTTGGTAAAAGGCACATGGGACTTGGCAAAAGCATGTAGATACAAGGATGGCATCTAAATGATATTTGCTTGACTCCCCTAAAACAGCCTTTGGAGTTTCACCCCAGCTAGTTGGTAGGATAGCAAGCAAATGGTAGATAACTACCTTGTATAGAACTGGAACTTTCTCTTTGGCATCTACGAACAGGTGCTACAGACTTGGCCTCTGCCCACTGAGACCTCTTGCAAGAGTTTTTGTGCCCACAGGGGCTTCACATGTCTTGGGCCAGTGAGGCTAATTCAGGCCCCACTGCATCCAGAGCCGTTCTGCCAGCTCAGCCACAGGAGGGGCCCCGGCCCTGGTCCAGCTTCCCGTAGGTCTCCCTGATTCCCCCTTTCTCCTCAGATCAGCAATGGTGCACGCCTTCAGCATGAGCACATCACAGACTTGCTGGTGTTTGGCTTCCTCCAAAACTGCTGCAACTCTAATTTCCACAAAGAGCTGAAGGCGTTGGGCCATGACCTGCCTGTGCCAGCTTACCCGCGAGAAGATTATGATGATGAACTGCAGACGGATGGTAACCGGTGCAGCCATATCGTCTTGGAAAGGGAGGAGACAGGTAGGCATCTGGCCCCGGCCTGCTCTGCTTTGCTGTCACCAGTGACATTTAGAGAACCTAAGTGCTAGAAGGGATCTCTGGGCTCAGTCTCCACTTGCATAGTTCCAGTCCATCATATGTGTGTGTGTGTGTGGTTGTGTGGTTTGTACTTGGTCACGCCAGTGGAGCAGGCCTAGCTGAGTTTTCAATTGGCTGAAACCTACTCAGTTTCTTTATAATGGTTCTTTGTATAGCACTTTACACTTTGATTTTTACATGTGTTATGGCTTGTAATTATCCACAAGATAACAAGGGCATCGAAGTATTCTGAACCTTATTTCCAGATGAGGAAACTAAGGCCCAGAGAAGGGTAAATGACGAGCTCTAAAAACAACTGCTGGGCACGGCTGAGCCAGAACTCGGGTCCAGGCCTGCCTTGCTGGGCCCCCTCGTCCTCCCACTGCTGCGCTGCCTCCAGGTGCATCAGTGTTTAGACTTCCTTCACTTTCCTCATCCTGTTCTGTCCTCCAGCCTCAGTTTTTACAGCTTTTAGCCACTGGTGCTGCCTCCACAGACAGAGACAGTCCTCTGCGGACAGCTGAGGGAGCAAGGCTGGGGAGTGTGTTGAGGTTCAGCCACTTCCAGATGAGGGCCTGGAACAGTGGTTTTCTGTAGTGTGCACACTGGAATTCCATGAGGAACTTTTTCAAAATGTGTGTGCCCTGAGCCCTCCTCCAGCTGCCTGAACGATTGCGTTCTAAGGTGGGAGACGCTGAGATATGCCCTGGTCGGAATCACTGCCCTCAAAGCCTAAGGAGACTGAGGACTTGGACCCAGGCCTCGCTCTAGAAGCAGCACTAAAATCCTGCTGCCCTGAAATCTCCTAACATAGGAGGTTGCACTGCCCTCTGGTGGCCTTGGGGGAGACCAGCAGCTGATCCAGCCTTCGGACCTCCAGCTCTGTCTTAACTCTGGCGGATGGTGATCTGGTGGAGTTTCCCACTAGCCAGTGTGTGCCAAAGACCTTCTCTTCCTTAAAATCCAGCTGGTGTGTCTTCTGGCTGACCCTAAACTGGGATAAGAGCACCTAGCCCCCTTTAGAGAAGGTTTGAGAAGGGGTGGGGGACAGGAGGAACAGCTTTGCCTGTCAGAAGCTGCTACAGAAGTTATTATAACCAGAGGCTGTCCCCTAGGCTCTCTTTTGCTCTTCTGTACTGTCCCTTGTCTTCAGACTGCAAAGTCATTTGCAGAAGTGATTATGGGGCTGTACAGTTAACATAACCCTCTGGTAGAAAACTGGCATGTAGATAAAATACCTGACAAGATTTGGAAGCAAAAGGCAAAGTACAGGCTCTAACTGCCACAGTTTCATCGGTGAATTTATTCACTCAACTGGATACAGATGAGTCAGCTGCGACTCCTGAAGTTGCCAGAACAGGGCAGAAAAGGGTAGGGAAGTTGGTGAGGCAGAGAGTCAGTGCTGTTGGAGTTAGGGAGAAGATGAGTGCTCTGTTCTCTGTAGGAAATCAGGAAGAAACCTCATGGCTACCACTGAATCAAGGTGGGCCATGAAGGTGGGTGCAGTTTTGGTCTGGAGATTGGGAAGAAGGAATGGCATTAGCTAAAGCAAAACCCTGAAGATGGAAAAGCCAGGGCCTGTGAAAGGTACTGTAAATAGTTGAGTTTGCCTAGAATGTTTGAAGGGAATAGTGGAAGTCTAAGGTGATTTGAAGCTGGGTGGCGACTTGTCACTTAAGCAGAGGTGAGCATATGGAAGGTTCCGAGTAGGGAAGTGATGTCTTATTGTAACCACATGTATTGTCAGCGCCGCAGCGCAGCAAATGAAACACCCAGGGCACAAGATACAAGGAGGTACTGACTCCAAGATCACACAAGCTCACTTACTCCTCTTAATAGTCTCCTAAGTCTTCACCTAAGTGCCTTACTTGCCAAAGTATATTGTGGAGAGTGGGCTGGAGGGCAGTGAGAGTGGGGTGAGGAGATACCGTAGTTATCCAGATGTGAGGGAATGGAGAGCCCACACTGTGCGGTAGCAGTGGTAATGGGGAGGAGAAACAGTTGTGTCTGTGCTGAGATAAGAGCTGCCAGTTGATGGAGGATGGGTGCAGTGGCAATAGCTAATCTGGGGTGAGGATGAAATTTCTATCCTGGGGAAATAAGCCAGGGGGAAGTTGCAAGCACAGAAAATATATAAGATTTAATGGGAGAAATAACAATAGGAACTAGGTACAGGGTTCGTTCATTTACTCATTCATTCATGCAGTTGTTTATTGAGCACCTACTATGTGCCTTGAATTGTTTTTGGTGCTGCGTAGTTGGCAATAAACAAAATGGACTTAAAAGTCAGAGCCTTTATGAACCCACATTCTGGCGAGGGAGTTAGACAGAACACAGGTGAAATACATGATATGGTAGCGAGTATCGAGGGAGGAAAAGGGAAGGAGGGGAAGAGAGTGGCAGCGAGAGTGGGGTGTTAATGTTGGACTGAGTGGCATTTGAGTCAAGCTAGAAGAAGTTAGAGAAGGAGCCGGCTCTCTGGGGAGGCCAGTGTAGCTGGAGAAAAGGGATGAGGGCCAAGTGGGAAGACTGGAAGGCTGGACAGGTTGTACAGAGCCTTACAGGTCAGAGTGAAGACAGAAGTTTGCTGACTGAGATGGGACTAGAGAGAGCGGTGATCTCCACAGCCACACCGTGAGGAAGGTGGGAGAGGATGTGGCAAGGTCTCCTGGCTGCGGGCGGCAGAGGCGGGGCTCTAACTCAGTCTGACTGCAGAGCCTCTGTACTCTAACAGGCTGACACCTGTTGAATGATGCGATATAGAACTGGCAGCCATAACACTGCTGTCCGGTTCGTACCTCAGGTGCCCACGGTCCTGGATGCCCAAGTATCACTGACCCTTTTCATGGGCAGATGTTGAACCTATATTCAGGAAGAAACCCGCTTCTCCAGCCAGTCTTCTGCTCACTCCAGCCCTTTCCCTGGACCCAGCGCTCTGCCCCTGCTCCCCTGAGCCTCAGGTCTCCAAATCCTCACACTGCAGCTCTATAGAGTGGAGCCAGTGTTAAGCTGGGACCCCAGTGGTGTGCCGTGGAAGCAGGAGCTGGCTTTGTTCCAGAGCAGAATCCTTTCCTTTTTCCAGGGTAGGGTGGAGAGGAATGAGGGTGTAGAACAGGGCCATTGTCTGAATCTGCTTTGTCTCTGCTGCCCCTGCCTGAACATTCAGAGTCTGAGAATCAAGAGGAAATCATCCAGAATATCGCCAGGCAGCTCGCCCAAATAGGGGACAGGATGGACTCCAGGATCCCCCCAAGAGTGGTGAATTACCTGGCAATGGAATTTATGAATGTGGACCTGTCAGAGGAAGTAAGTGAGAAAACCCTCTAGTGCCCTTTTTGGGTTAGCTGGGAAGAGTGAAGGCTTTTTCCATTGTCATTCGAACCACAAGGTCTGTCCTGTCTCCTGTCAGACAGATCAGTGTCCAGTGAGGTTACTCATGTTGTGACTGTCCACAAAAGAATTGGGAATAGAAATTATAGCATGGTCGGTTGTCTCTCAGGAGAATTAAGTTACTTGACATTTAGGAAACCCGAACCTTAATTCAGAGTGAAAACTTTGGGGATAAAAGCCTCCAAAAAGATGAACAAAATATATGACTCTTCCAGAAATAACTTTCTTCAGTTTTAGGGAGTCAAATAAAAATGCCATCAGATGGTCCCTCCCCATCTGATGTTCTCCATCAGCTATCACAGAATATAAGCATCTAGTGATGTTCTGCCTTGGGAACCTCTCCCCCAGTGTTAACTTAATATTGCATGAGAATCATGAGCCTGGAGATCCTTTCGATTCTAATGGTCTTTGGCATGCCTCTTCTACTAGGTGGGAATGTCACCTGTAGCCCCCTTCCTCCTTCTCTTTAGCTAGGTCTGCACCAGTAAATAGGCCTGAGACATCTTTGGTAGTTAACTAATTCTCAATTTGAAGAGGCAGGGAATGACTTGGCTTCTTTAGCTCCATCAGTGTCATGTGCTCACACAATGCTCAGTGACCATGTGTTTGGTTAGCGAGTGTCCCACTCCAGGGAGTGAGCTCAGTCCTCCCTTTCGATCCCCTCTGAAAACTGAGCTGTTTCTCATTCTCTCCTACAACCATCTTAGCTATTTAATAAATACTTCCTTCTGAAATGAGAGCATGCCTCTTCATCCTTTCCATTGGAGGACTAGTCCTTTAACAGGGAAGAATTTAGTGAGCTAGGTTTGATGTGAACCTTTTGTTTTTACATCCGTACAGGACAGGAAGGATTGCCTCTCTGCTGCGCTGGAGGAGGTCATGAAGACTTATCCTAAAGACATGGAGAGGGAGAAGACCATGCTGATGTTGACCATGCTGCTGGCCAAAAAGGTGGCCGATCACACACCATCCTTGCTCCGTGGTGTCTTTCACACAACAGTGAATTTTATTAACCAAAACCTGCTCACCTATGTGAGAAACTTATTGAGAAATGTAAGAACCAGTGATGTCAGCTCCTTGGCATCTCACTAAATCGTCTCGGTCTCTGCCTGTTCCCCATATCCATTCCCCTCTGAGTTCTGGAAACCCAGCCGAGCCCTCTGCCACAGGGCTTCTTTTATCCTTTCCTTCTGCTTCTGACGACCAAGCCACAGGAATGCTGTTACAAACCTTTCTGCCCAGGTAGAAAGGCTTGGTTTTGCTTTTACAAGCAAGAAAGTTATGTGGTAGGAGGTGGTAATGAACACTGAATGTCCTTTTGAGCTTTATCAGCTTTATGTTTAAGATTGAATTTTGTCAGCTTTACGTTTAAGATGTGCTACTGTCAGCGGGTAAAGGCTTACTTCATGCTATTGGTAGAATTGTAATAGTGTGGTACAGACATGGAGAGAATGAAAGAAAGTGGCTCAGGGACCTAAGCTGAGCTCCCCTAGTCTGCTCTCAACTTTACCTTGTCACACAGATGAGTATAATTAAATTCTTTTAAAACATGCTTACCAAGGATGATGGTAGAGACACCAAAAGGAGAGATTTAAAAAGTAGGGAAAACTATCTAAAACCTGCCCCAGAAAAACATCTGTCCCATAACCAGGGTGTTAAAAGTCACAGTTCTTCATAATGCTGCCCAAGAAGGCCAGATGGTCCTGAAAGCCTGGCGCTTCGGTTTCATAGACCTAACTGAAGTTTCAGTGGATGTGTCTTTTCTGTAAATTTTCTGCGAAATATTAGTGAATATTTGGGATTTTGTGTCAGAAGCATCACTCGGGCATCTGATGTGGTATTTACTGATGAGCCTTAAAAGCATTCTCTATCTCCTGTGGTCTTCAGTTATACAGATATTTTAAAACAGAATGAATGTAAATCTCAACTCAGGTATTAAACAAGCTTAGTTGTTGGAAGGAGGTAAGCCTGAGAAAGGTTCTGGACAGCGTTTACCAACAATGACCTGATGGGGGAGTAAGTGAGCAAGATGTCAAAAGCAGTCTTGTACTAACTAATAGCTTACTAAACACCGAAGGGCTCAAACAATCTTGACTCCCCGGACCCACTAAGACGCGTCTTGGCACTGTAAGTGATCTCGTAGATGCGAATATCCAGATCTCAGCACCTTGAAAGCCTGTTTTATGTAGTTGCTCTGCAAAAAACTTTGGTGCAACAAGTAGCAGGCAGGATGTAAAGATGACAAGGCTCCAGAGAAGGCGATTCTATACAAACCCCAGCTTCACTTCTGTTGATTAGGGCACTAGAGTTCTTGACTGAATTCTGGTTTGCAAATTAGACTGGCAGATTTAGACCTTAGACCTTAGAAAATGATCATCAATAAAGCAGTTGCATCTATTAAATTAGAGGTGTGGAGCACCAACAACTTAATGGAAGTTCAAAGAACCCAAATCTAGGGAGATGACAATAGTAAAAACATAACTGGATTTTACTTATTTTTAATTTGCATTTCTTTTATTACTAGCGAAGTTAGGCATCTTCTTGTATAGTTGAGAACTATTTACATTTGTGGGACTTATCTGTTATTATCCGTCCCGACGTGGCTTCTCCTGTATGTCCTTAGTTGTAGGACTTCTGTTCAGCTAAACTTCAAGTGATTCTCAGTGATGGTTGTTCTGTAGTTTAGCTGTAATCTTGATGTGGTCATGAGAGGAGGCAAACACTGTATCTGCCTACTCCGCCATCTTGACCCGATGCTCCAAAACATAACAAGATTTTAAATGTGCTAAATATATGCTAAAGGTTTTGTTTTGATTGGATGAGGGGTATAGATTCTAACATCCTTGAAGTAAATCAGAACATCAAAATTTTAGTTGTAGCAGAGACTTCTAGATACCCCCCAATATCTGCCCTCCCCATCTGTTATAGTAGGGTTTGTAGCTAGGTATATGGCCTCTTGGCTTGTCTACGTGTCCCAGGCTCCCTCATAAGCCAGATGTGACCTATCACTTCTGATGAAAGGGAAGCAGAAAGAAGTGATGTATGTATCTTCTGCACTGTGTCCCTAAACAGGAACATTTGCTCTACTTGCCCCTTGCCTTGCCCATGGGCTGAAATGTGGCTGAGGATGTGGGTGTAGGTGAAGGCAACACCTTAGTGTCAAGGACCAATAAGATAGGCTCCTGGGTCCCAAGACTGTGGTGTTGACTGCTCACGTGTAATTAGAGAAATGAACTATCTTGTATAAGTCATATTTAGATGATCTGTCGTAGAAATTGAATGTACATTCTAATAAATGCAATGTATGTTTGTTAAAAATGAAGAATATAGAATCATTTACAAAGGGTGGTAAATTATGGCCAAAGGCCAAATCTGGTTTGCTGTTTGTTTTTTTAAACATAGTTTTATTGAAATAGTTTTATTGTTCGTTCTCTTTGCTGCTTCCACACTATAACATCAGAATTGAGGCATCATAATAGAGACCATATGGCCTACAGAGCCTGAAATATTTTCTGGGCCATAACAGAAAAAGTGCCCCTGCTGTGAGAGGAAAAGAAAAAGGGAACCTGGTCATCTAGTACAAGTTAGGAAAGAGGGAGAAACAACAGTAAATAGGCATAAAAAAGAATTTGAAAAGTCAGGAATATGACTAGATATTTTGGTGGTAAAAAAAAAAAATTAGACTGGCTAATTCTAGTTGTTTTTCCTTTCTTGCTCTAGGAGATGGACTGAATGGATGACTGCAAAATCATGTCTGGTTAAAACTTGATAAGGTGTCAACAATATAGGTGCCTCATTTGGAGATGGAGCCATGACCATTTAAACAAAGTTCTTAGAGACAACAGGCATGAGATAATAGCTATTTATTTCTCACTATTTTAAAGATGTTTTAAGCTGGCGACCCATTTAGAAATCTCTACATTAATATACTTGAATGGAAATGTCAACTTGAACATATTTGAACAAGCTTCATACCATTTTCTTAACCCATCTACACATTGTGCCTTTGTCTTATTTCAGCTGTATAGGTCCCCACTTGAAAATTACATTTAAAAACAGATTGTAAGACAGAAGAAAAAAAACAATGTTGTTTTGTTTTTTAAAACAAACCAAAAAAACAAAAACTTACTGTTTATTAAAGTGCAACCTTGGGGCATAGTCTTACAGCAGACAGTGTCAGTGTCATGTGTGAGAGCAAGAATGCACATACTCTTTACAAATGAAAAAGTCCTCTCAGGATAGGGACCATCTTAATACTAAGGAAGTAGCAGTCTTCCTGTTTAGAGACTAGATGGCCCAGGAGGTTCTGGACTAAAGTTCTATATTCAGTGGGAAAATCAGGCCTCAGAACATGTGTGGCTCTTTTCAATTTGATTTCCTTTTATGAGAGTCAAGAAAAACCATAGGCAATTAAAAGGTGAGGAAGTAATTTAAAGGCCCATGTCACATAGTTTCCAGTATCAGGTAACTAAAGGCACCTTTTCTCTTTTGAAGAAGTCAAGGCTTTGGTAAAATTTTTAAGCTGGTGGAGGACCAGAAGCTACTGCATATATCCCATGGGCCATGTCTGCTAATAATCTTATATTTTTATTTTCTAGGCATACCCCTCATCCATGCCTAAGAGGCTGTATCAGGAGAGAACAGGTTTTTCTAGGCGTAAAAGATGAAAAAACAGTCTTAAAAATTCAACAGTTGAATGGTTGCCTTTCCTAGGGACATAGAATACAAGTAACAACAAAATCAAATTCCTTAGGTAGGAACAAATAAACCCAGGAGCACTTAAATTTAGAGCAGTGCCACACCGTCTGTTGTTCCCAGCAACTGTGTTTCCTAGAGTTCCATTTACACGTATGATGGTGAATGCTGCGTCCACACCACACACATCATCTGTACTCTGTAGTAGCACTCTTGTTACTATGAACATGACACTTGGAGAAGCATATAAACAAGAGTAACGAAATACTAATAAATATTTCCTTGATACCAAAATACTTTTCTGTTCCTTCAGCAATTCAGAAAAGAAAAATGGCCATCATTCAGCATTAAGTATATACTGCAGCAGGGCTGGGTCTTAATCTGATATCTGCAGTGTTGTAAATATTAAAAGCAAATAGATGTTGCCATGCAGTATGGAGGCCATCATTTGGAAATAAATCTTCCAGTCGTGTTATTGTTTTGTAGTGGACTTTTTTTTAAAGGGATTCATATCACAGTGGAAACAAGTTGAATAACATGTATACATACATACCCATCTGTACATGTGTATGAGCAGATTATCACTAGGGCAAGATATTTTAGGAGCAATTTAAATAGAAGTAGTCAACTCTAAGCTAATGGAGGAGAAAAGAGCTCTAAAACGGTAAATAATTCAGACTAATAATCTTTCACAGCATCTTTTCACTGTTTTGCTTAAATGAATACATTAGGTCACTATTTTAATGCAGTTTATATGCGTTGCAGTGTAAATTTTTCCAGACCAGGTTGGATAAACCTTCTTAGTCGTAAAGCAATAATATCACCTTGTCTCCCCAAGCCAGCATCATAAAAAGATGGCTCTATATCAGAAGTGTTCCAATCTTGAACTACATCCTAGCCATGACTTCAGGGATACCCTGGAAGTTGGTGGATTTTACACTGGTAACATAATCTTTGTGGATATAATGGAGAAATGACTTTCACAGAATGTGTTTCATCTTATTTTTTAAATATCTGAATTGATGAAAATTCCTTGGTTAAAGATAAAAAGCTTTCTTCAAAAGATGCTTGGCATATATGAAAGTCAGGTGGGATATTTGGTGTATTCAGGTCAAAGCATTCCTGACCTCACCTTTTAGGATCCAGAATTAACTGCTGAGATGCTCAGGGCTATTTAGAGTGTCACAGCACCAGAGAGTGCTCTTATTTTCCAAAAATTTCATTGGCTGTGCTGACTGGGAACTTAAATATGGAGTGTCCTTTGGATATTATGATCATGCTTTCAGAACTTGAAGTCAAACTAAGTATCTGAAATGATTTCAAGACTGATTATCTGAAATGATTTCTCCTAAGTTAAGGGCATATGAATAGAAAGATGAGTCCATCAGTTATCTTCAAATCTCATTTTATTACAACCTCCAATGTGTTCTTCCCAGCACATTGCTTCTAACAGAAAGCACAATTCATAGGTTTGGTTTTTGTCCCTTTCCCCTGATGAAGAGTAGATTGGCCAAATGGAGATAATGAGGAAAAGGGAGGAGCCAGGATAACCCATAATAAATGAGCAAATCAGAGCTGCAGTAAGGAGAGCTAATGGAACCTCAGACAGAAAAAAGGAATATATGCTATATAAGTGACATACTTCAGTTAATTACAAAAAAAAAACATTTAAATTTTGAGATGAGAGCATTAGAACCAATATTAAATTTAATTGTTAAGGAATGAAGTAGATAGAAAGGCACTTTTAATCTAAAGGAAAAATGGAAGATTATGATAGGAAAATGCATGTCTAGAAAAAAGTTCTATCTTTTCCTTTAAGGACCAGTCATACACAAATTCTCTTGTTAGAAATCATCAGGAACAACCAAGTTATTCCAGACTCCTCTTACACAAGGAAGACTTTCAACTTCCTTTTTTTCCTGGGGAAGGAGGTAACTAGTAATCTTAAAATATGAAAACTTTTGTTCTATATAGTATATTAATCAATTTAGTGGTGCAAAGAACACATGGAAGTGAGCAATATCATTATAAAATTTCCCTCCAGGAGGTGAGAACAGGGCAAGAATCACCTTGAGCCAGCAGCTACATTTTATCTTATTAAAGGCCTTACAAATATACCTGAGAACAATTCCACCTGAGCTTACAATGGAGTAGCTGCCTGGCTAGGGTTCTTGTGTAAACAGTTCACATGTGGAAGACCCTGATGACAAGCTAGGTAGAGGTTAGTCGTGTAAAGGAATGGGATGTATTACAGTAACACAACAGTTGCTAACTCCATGAAGCATTATATATGAGTTAACTAAAAAAGTGACTGAATTTCAGGAAATCGGTGTTCTTTAAACAAGGCTTCTGTTAACTTTACATTGCTCAGTGTACCGTGGACCAGAAAGGAAAGTTTTTCACCAGAAAGTCACCTACTGTCAGCTTCCGAGCAAGATGTGCCTCTAGCTGTGCCTGGTCAACCCTTCTGACTGAGTTGGTGACCAATTCGAGTGTTGAGAGGCCATGCAATGCCTAGAGGTATCCCCTACTTCCCTCCACAGCACATGGCATAAGCAGGGGAGAAGGAACAAAAAGGAACAAACTAGGAAAAGTGTCATGGTGCCTTCAAATCATTCAGTGATGATTCCTGTGTCAGACTGCCTTACCCTTGTCTATAAAGCAGAAATATTTATCAAGTATATTAACTAAGAAAGCTAATGGAAGATCTGTGCCAGTTGTAACTATAAGGCATCTCATTCAATATTTAAAGGGAAAACATCTAGTATAGTTAGAAATTGGGAATTACCTCATGCTTCTCTGGTACAACATGCTCAATATTTAGACTAGCCTATTTGGTACCTCTGAACACAAATTAGAAAAGGCTCCCTTCCAGGGCGACATTGTGTGTGCCCAGGCTGCCCTTGTACAATATACAGTTGGCACAGCTGTGTGCAGAGAGCCTGCCAATACTGCTTTGCAGAGTCATAAAAAAGTAAAACTGGAAAAAGCACTAGACTTGGAGTCAAATTGATATCAGTGCTGTGTCTCTCCTATGCTAGAAGACTTTAGAAAAGTTATTAAACTGATTAGGTTTCCCTAATCTGTAAAATGAGAATAAAAGGAATATGACTAGCTGTCAGAACTGAAGGTGTAAAAAGGCATGTGAGGGCACTAGAACAATCTCTAGCATATGGTAAATGCTCAATATTTGCTAAAACTATAATTTTTAAGGAAAAGGATTTTCTAAAATGGAAAAAACATGCACCCTAAAGTGAAAACCATCTCAGTTGAACCTCCGCAGGGATGAATGGTATAACTGGGGGTTATCACTAATGGCACATTTTGGTCCTCCAGAGAAGAGGAAACTTTCAGGCATCAAGTGTGTTGCTGAGACTTTAAATGAAACACTGCTTGTGAGGGGACTGGTTCAGAGGCTAGAAACTTTTTATAACATGATCAGATAGCCTATAGGCCCTCTTGATGAAATACCACCATCTCAAATTTTTTGAAAGATAAGCTTGTGTAAAAAGACAATAAGAAATTAAAAGGAAGAGAAGAAAAATTCTTACCTATAATATCTTTTATTTCTACAAAACATCTCAAAATAATTTTAAAATTCTACAGGTATGACCTTTGTCCATGTGTCATACCTATAGAAAAAAAGGCAAGGAGGACACATATTATTAGAAGGAATTAGCACAAAGGCTGAGGAAATTAATTTCCACAGGAAATTAATGGTAGCTATGGTTCAAAAAACCACGTCTCTCTGTTTGCTGTTTATTCCTCCCAGGAAAACTTAATGCGAGAAAAATACTGCAAATTTGTCAAATATATGCCTACCAAAGTTCAGGGAGAGAAAGGTTGCATCCTTTTGACTACCAGCTAAAGATGCAGTGCCCCTCACCTAGAAATTTATTCATCCTCCAGGGTGCAGCCAGGTTAAGCCTCCCGCCTTCGAGAAGGTTGTCCACTGTCGAGTGGTCTCGCCCTACTAGTGGCTGCATTTGATACAAGAGATGGCACACAGGCAAGAGAAGGTAGCAAGGATGACTTTGGGTGGTGAATGCATGAACCAGGTGGTCAATAGTTGTTTTTCTTCATCTAGAAAGCTTTCTAGAGGGCAATGATTATGAGAGTCCCCAGGGCTAAGGCACACACTGTGGATACTGATTTCTCTGGGCCTCAAATTATTATTTTACTACAGAGAGGATAAATTTTCAGTCTTTAATTCTGGTATTTTTCTCAAGAAACCACTGGCTTTTGCCAAGTGATCAGAAATCATTACATTCAGTAGAGCAGTTACGAAGAGTTCTGTAGGACTTACTAAAAAAATTCCTCAACAGTTCAAAGAATGAAGAAGGATAAACAGGGTGATATTCTTAATTCTAAATCTGAGTTCCATAAACAAGTTGAATTTATTTTGAATCTTCCCTTTACCTTAGATTAGATGCTACATAAGTCAGAGGGCAAGGAGTGGCCTACAACTACCAGGAAAGGGAGGATGAAAAATAATTTTCTTTTAAATGTAATGGCAAAAAATAGGAGCTGCTGTAAAAAGCAACCCTTATTAGGGTATTCCTTTCTACTGCCAGAGACAGAGGATAAGGAAGTGAAGAATGTGGAGACTGACACACACTATTATTACTCAGGAATTCATGAGTCTATCTAGAGAAAGCCAATGGAAAAGAGTATCTATCATTATCCAGCAAAATGCAATTGGCCAAATCATTTTAGGTTAATATTCAACAAATGGAAAAATGCTGAAAAACTGCACATGGTAGCATTGTATCACGTCTTACTCTTTCCTTTTGTGGAGAACACAGACCCAAATATTCTAAGCTACAGATCTACCTTAGCAGCTCAGAAATGAATCTGATTTGCTCTTACCCTATGCAAACACAAATGTAGCAATCAGATAGAGTAATCCAGTGCAAATGTCAGAGCCCAAGGAGTAAAAAATTCTTTACTACACTAATCCCATTTCCCCCATTCATCTCTAGCTATATTAATCAAGGTCCACCAAAACCCTTAAAAACATCACTCCCTAACTGGAACACTAAAACTCAGAACATATACACTGCATGATAAAGCTGAGAAGACCCACACACTTCAAAACTTTCCTTGACCAACTTTTGAACAGTATTGCTTTAGGGAAAAGATTTAATTTTAAAAAATAAATTTTTTTTAAAAAAAGCACATTTAAAACATCAAGTTTTGGTGACCAGGATAGGTAAAGTAATTTTATTACAAATTTCAGGATCTAAAAATTTGTTACATTTATTTACTAAGACAAATCTGAGATGACTTGTACCAAGCACGTGTCCTGCATAGTGACACTAATCCTCAGGCATGAAAAGAGTCTCACCCTCTCAAGGGATGGGATCAGCCAGATGAAAGAAAATTATGCAGATTCTCAACTAGCACGTACTAATTAGGATATTTTTGGTTTATCACTCTGGCATTTGGACTGTGAGAGTTTGGCGAAGAAGCCTCTTCTGTTCTTGAACTCTGAAAGCCAAACTTGAATCTTGAGGGTAACTAAGAATTTCAAGCTTCTCTTTTCATACTATATCAGAGATATTTTTAGGAGACTTTCTGTATTTAATAAGAGTTATGATTCAATTGGTCTGTAAGCCCAAATATGAAAATCCAGGAAGGACTGCAAAGGAGCTGGATGACCAGTAAGACTGATGCCAGATACTGGGAAAACACACTAGCCCAGGTTATAGACAGTGATCATCCAGCAAAAGAGATGCTGCTGGCAAGTAGCCATAAATTCAGTAGGGTGGCCATACACAAAAAGGCCAGAAGCGCTCCATAGGTCATCTAAGCCATCCCCCTACTTCTAAATGAGACAAATCTCTATCTATGGTTACTTGCCATTACACTCATAGGCAGGGAACCCTAGGTCGCTTGTTTTATATATTTTTTTTAAAGATTACTAAAGGCAGCATCTTTACAAGGTGGAGCTGTAAGAAGCATCAGGGACTTGACAGGTATAGAGCAAGCACTCTCCCATGGATCTCAGAAGGAACTTGGGGGTGAAGAGGAGCAATGTGGTGGTACCTGAGAGGCAGCTGAGACATGAGGGGAGAGCACCCTCACGCTACAGGACTAAAAAGGTGGGGAAGAAAAGAAGAGCCAAAAAAAGGAGGCTGCAAAACACAGCATGTTCTTCAGGAGAGATGAAATTCGAAGGGCATGACCAAGACAGCTGAGGAGCCTACAGCTAAGACCTCTTGGCTGGGAATTTCTACCCCAGGTTCCCCTAAATTCACCCTCTCCCTCTAAAGCTGTGGCTCTCAACAGGGGAACAATTTTACTCCCAGGGAACATTTGGCAATGTCAGGAGATATTTTTGGTTGTCACAACTGGGGAAAGTGCTACTGGTATTTAGTAGGTAGAGGTCAGGGATGTTGCTAAACATCCTACAACGCACAGGACAGCTTCCTACAACAAAAAATTCTCAAGATGTCATTAATGCCAAGGTTGAGAAACCCTGTACTAGAGGGAGTACTTTACACAGAAGATCCTGAATCTAGCATGAGCCAAGGCCCTTGGAACTTACCATCAGACAAACATGAACACCCTCTACCTTAATCCCTAATATGTGGATCAACCCACTGTCTTGGTGAACAGAAATCCCCAGTTATCCAAGAGTGCACCACAAATGTCCAATCAGCTGCTAGCAGTTCAAATTCAGTCAATACATCTAAAACCTTATATCCTTTTGTCTTCTTTCTCTTCTGAAAAAACCTATTTCTTTCTCAGAGCCAATGCTACCCCAACTGCCACTGCCAGAATGGCAACAGCAGCCACCCCTCCATACAACAGTACAGACTTGCCCTCAGATGGTGGGATGCCCTTCTCTTCTCCAGCAGGGGAGGACCCTTCTGTAACACCCTCTTTCCTTACATTCACCTCCTCTTTACTCAGCAGTGTTTTTGTGGGTTCCAGTGCAGGGATCACCTCCTCCTCTAGTTCGATAGGTTCAATTGTTGCTGCTTTCACCTCTTCTTCATCAAGTTCTACGAACAAAGATGTAGCTGGGCTGACTTTCTCAACTGCAATTGTTTCTGTGTCAGGTTCCCTCATTTCCAGCAAGGAAGTGGCAGTGATATGTGGAAGCGAGGGCGCTGGGGCTTCAGGGAACGCCTCTTGCAGCTCCCTGGTTGGCAAGACTATAGATGCCACAGCAGCCTCCTCCATACCCTCAGGTATTTCTTCTTTCTCCACATGCACAATGTCAGAATTGGAAGAGTTGTTCTCACTCTTCTCTCCAGCCCCGTTGCTATCTAAGCTTTTGACTTCTTCAGGATCCATTGCAATCTGCTGCCAGGACTCAGGACCTAGGGACACTGGTAAGCTTTCTGTGTGCCAACTCTGGCTGGCTGATAGAGAAACAGGTAAGCTCTCTGACTGCCAAGAAGTGGTCACAGTTGGAGACTCTGGAAGACTGACTTGTCCAGAGTTATCACTGGGCAGTATATAAATGTCATTGCTATCTTCTGCAACGATTCCAGGGTATTCCTCCTCCTCGGACTCAAGATTGAAGACAGTGCCCTAGAAAAGGAGGCGGAGAGTCAAGACAAATAATGGTAAATACAGTTAAAATAAATGTAAATATGGGAGAAACATTCTTTCCTAAACTGAAGTTCCAGAAATAAACATATCATTAAATCTACATATTTTCTGGATTGAATCCATTTACTTGTAGATCAATGCAGAGGAAGTATTTTTAACAAGATGGTCCTTTGACCAATTTCTTTGAAGCTAAAAAATTAAAAAGTTAATTTATATTCGATTCCACTTATATATATTCAATGCAATTATTAATGCAAAATAGCCAAGTAAATAAAGGCAAGAATCTTGCTCTCAAGGAACTTATGACTTTGGGTACAAGAATAATGCTAGTACAAGAATAATGGGTACAAGAATAATGTTAGTGCTATTAAGAGTTCAGATGGGGAAATTACTCCTTTTGGTTGAGCCTGAACAGTGAAGGAAGCTGACTGAAAGCCTCATGGAAGAACCAACATTTTATATTAGACATCTGAAGAATGGGTAAGATTTCATGGTGGAAGCCACGTAGAAGACACGATACCAGCAAAAGCACAGAAATATAAAAAAGGGGAATAGAAAGTATCCCAGTTTAATTAGTGCAGTGTATATGAAGAAGAACAGAAAGTTCAGTTAGGACAGGACCATGGAGGAGCTTAACAGAGAGCTAAGAAATATGAACTTTATTCAACAAGAAATGGTTAGTCAATGAAGTCTTTGAGCTACAAAGTGACAATCAGAGCTCCCCTTTAAAGTTAATCTGACAGCAGTGGTGGAATAAAGGGACACCAGAAATGCAGTACTCTTGCTTCTCTCTTTGGCAAGAATCTATAGGAAAGCAATAAAAACACATAGTGTCGGTCTTCAATTTCACATTTAACAGTTTAACGTGATTCACTGTGGTTGTCTATTGCCCAGCAGGTGCTGTGTTAGGCAAAGGAGTTGTAAGAAAGAATGAGACCCAATTTTTGTTCTTCAAAAATTCACCATCTAGACGTGAGGAGTGGCATATGAATAACTAATTTCAATATATCACAGTAAGCTTTAAAACAAGTGTATGCACAAGGTGCTAGGGAACCCAGAGGTTAAGATGTGATCAGAAAGACAGAAAGAGAATCAATGGAGTGCAATGTCAGAGATCCATAGAAAGTTTTACAGTCTGGGTGATATTCCATAAATGCTACAGTTTGAAAAGGATATGTAAAGTAAATTAATTCTTATTTTGTGATTATGGCTGCTGTTTATATGAAGTAGACTAATTTTATTCTTCAGTCAAAACCAAAATCTTCCTGTGTACACTAAAGGTCTAATATAAATCAGTAGTCTCTACAACCACCCCATAAAAAAAGGAAGTCAGAAATACAACAAAACAAATAACATGATCATAATGCCAACATTCTAACTGCCCCACATTCTACCTCAACCCTTGCTTCAATTTCCTTAAGAGGTCTTGGTAGGTATTAGAGATAGTCCAGGAATGATTATAAGCAGAGGCAAAACACAACAGTAACTAAAAATGCAGTGTTTGTTTTGAATTCCAACTCTACCACGTACCAGCTATGTAATTTTGAATGACTTGCTTAATTTTTTAAACTTCAATTTCATAAATGAAAATAACTAAATAGGATTACAAAAATTAATACAGTGCTTAGCATAGAACCTTGTACACAGTAAGCATGCAATAAATTATGCTATTTTTTCCTTACTGTCATTGTTTTTGTTTCATGGTTTTTACTGCTATTGTTTTTGTTGGTATGTTGATGGGACAAAGAGCTACTCTAAAATAACATCTAAATAGCTTTTTCTCTGCAAGGAGGCAGCCGAGCAACCTCCCCAGCAGGCGCAGATCTTTGTGAAGACCCTGACGGGCAAGACCATCACACGTGAGGTTGAGCCCAATGACACTACTGAGAATGTCGAAGCTAAAATCCTAGACAAGGAGGGTATCCCACCTGACCCGCAGCATCTGATTTTTGTAGGCAAACAGCTGGAGGAATGGCTGTGCTCTCTCAGATTATGATATCCATAAAAAAAACCACCCTGCTCTTGGTGCTTCATCTGCAGGGCAGCATCGAGTCCTCCCTCCACCAGCTCACTCAAAAATGCAACCGCAACAAGATGACCAGCTGCACCGTCACCTGCTCCAAGAAGTGTGACATCACTGACAACCTGCACCACAAGCACATGGTCAAATAAGGCCCGTTCACTGCCTCCATGGCCTGCAGGGCAACCTCCTGTCCAAACCCCTTGGCCCTGGAGCCTCAATAAAGTTTCTCTTTCATTGACTTCAGCAGTAAGAAACAAATAAAATAAAACAAAATAAAAAATAAATAAAATAAAATAAAATAAAATATAAAAAGTAAAGTATAAAACAAAATATCATCTAGATAGAAAAAGTCAAAAAAATAAAAGCAATTTTAAATAATATTTTTTCTTGAGTAAAGAAGAAAATTAAATTTTTCCTTCTCTCTCATCTCTTCCATTAAAAAATTTTCAATACAGTTGACATAAATTTCAGGTGTACTACATAGTGGTTAGATGATTATATAATTTAAGAAGTCATGTCCCCCAATAAATCCAGTACCCACCAGGCACCATACATACTTATTACAATATTATTGACTATGTTCTCTATGCTGAACTTCAGATTCCCATTTACTATTTTGTAACTGCCAATTGGACTTCTTACTCCATTCACGTTTTTTACCTAAGCTCCTAACCTCACTCCCATTTGGCAACCATCAGTTTGTTCACTATATCCATGAGTCTGTGTGTTTCATTTGGTCGTTTATATTATTCTTTAGATTTACCATATAAGTGAAATCATATGGTATTTGTCTTTCTCAAATTTATTTCACTTAGCATAATACCCTCTAGGTCCATCCATGTTGTTGCAAATGGTAACATTTCATCTTTTTTTATGGCCAAGTAAATACTCCATCGTATATACGTACCACTTCTTTAAGTTGCTTCTATCTTGGCTATTGTAAATAATGCTGCAATAAACACAGGAATGCATATTCTTTTCAAATTAGTGTTTGGATTTCTTTGGATAAATACCCAGAAGTGTAACTGGGTATTTAGTAGTTCTACTTTTAATTTTTTGATAAACATCCATACTGTTTTCCATAGTGGCTGCCCCAATTTGCAATTCTACCAACAATGCATGATGGTTCCTTTTTTCCCCCACATCCTCACCAAAGCTTGCTGTTTCTTGACTTATTGATGATAGTCATTCTGAAAGGTGTGAGGTAATATCTCATCGTGGTTTTAATTTGCTCTTCTCTGATTACTGGTGACAGTATCTTTTCATACATCTTTTAGCCATCTGTAGTCTTCTTTGGAGAAATACCTGTTCAGGTCCTCTGCCCATTTTTAAACTGGATTGCTTATATTTTTGTGTGTTAAGTTGTGTGAGTTTTTATAAATTTTGGATATTAACCCCATTATTGGACATATCATTGGTGAATAGGTTCTCCCAGTCAGTTGTCTTCTTGTCTTGCTGATGGTTTCTTTTGCTGTGTAAAAACTTTTTAGTTTGATGCACTCCCATTTGTTTTACTTTTGTTTCCCTTGCCCAAGAAGATATATCAGAAAAAATATTACTGAGAGCAGTGTCAGAGAGTTTATTGCCTATGTTTTCTTCTAGTTTTATTGTTTGGGTCTTAAATTTAAGTCTTTAATCCATTTTGAGTTTATTCTTGTATGTGGTGTAAGAACGTGGTCTGGGTTCATTTTCTGCATTTATCTGTCTAGTTTTCCCAACACCATCTATTAAATAGACTGTCTTTATCCCCTTGTATATTCTTGCCTCCCCTATCATGGATAGATTGACCATATAGGCATGGGTTTATTTCTGTGCTCTATCCTGTTCATTGATTTAAGTACCTACTTTTATGCTAATACCATGCTGTTTTGATTACTATATAGTCTTATAGTACAGTCTGATATCAGATAGTGTAATACCTCCAATTTTCTTTTCTCAAAACTCCTTTGTCTTTTGTGGCTCCCTAGAAATTTTAGGATTTGTTCTAGTTCTGTAAAAATGCCATTGTTATTTTGATAGGAATTGCATTAAGTCTACAGATTGCGTTGAATAATGTGGGCATTTTTATGATGTTAATTTTTCCTATCCACAAGCATGGTTTTTGCTTCCTTTTATTTGTGTCTTCTTCAGTTTCTTTCTTCAATGTCTTATAATTTTCCGAGTACAGGTCTTTTATCTCCTTGATGAAAGTTATTCTTAGGCATTTTATTTTATTTTTGGTGCAGTTGTAAATGGGATTGTTTTTAAATTTTTCTGATAGTTCGTTATTGGTATATAAAAATGCCAGATTTCTGAATATTAATTTTGTATCGTGCTATTTTACTGAATTCATTGATCAGAGCTGTAGTTTTTTGGCGGAAACTTTAAGGTTCTCTATATATAGTACCATGTCATCTGCAAATAATGAGTTTTACTTTTTCCTTTCCAATCTGGATGTCTTTTATTTCTTCTTCCTGTCTGATTGCTGTGGCTAGGACTTCTAATACTATGTTGAGTAAAAGTGGTGAAAGTGGACATCCTTGCCTTGTTTCTGATCTTAAGGGAAATGCTTTTAGCTTTTTCCCCATTGAGTATAATGTTAGCTGTAGGTCTGTCATATATATTATGTTGGGGTATGTTTCTTTCATTCCCACTTTGCTCGGTTTTTATATCATAAATGATGCAGGATTTTGTCAGATGCTTTTTCTGCATCTATTGCTGTGATCATATGATGTGCATTTTCAATTTGTTAATGTGGTGTATCACATTAATTGATTTGCGAATATTGAACCAACCTTGCATCCCAGGAATAAATCCCACTTGATCATGGCGTATGCTCTTTTTAATGTCAGGCTGAATTCAGTTTGTTAATATTTTTATGAGGATTTTCACGCCTATGTTCATCAGGGATGTTGGCCTATTATTATCATTTTTTTCTTTTGGTAGTGTCTTTGTCTTGTTTTGGAATCAGGATAAA